CAGGAAAGTGTATTTTGTAGGCCCAAACTTCTAATCCATAAATTGGTACTTCAGGCTTGTCCTATGTGCAGATTACAAACAACCTGTCCTGCCTTGCAATGTTCTACTGTGACTAAATAAAGCTTGTTTGGGCACCCCAGCTAAATGTTAGCATCCTGGAGAGCAGGGACCATGACACTAGTTTTATTTCTCCTCCATAGCAACTGGTCAGTACCAGGTACCTAAGAGGGAGGTGGTCTGTGGTCAAGTTTTGGCATTTGTTTGGAAGGGGTCTTTTGGAGCAAAGATGACTGCAGGGTTTTCCCAGGCAGCTCAGCAGGAGATGACCTTGCCTGGGGGGCCACCTGAGCAAGGGTCATCTCCTGCTGATGGCAGGGTTTTCTCCATGAAAACCCTGGCGAATGGCAGGAGGCAGCCACATGTCTGACACAAGCAGCCTTATTTATTGAACATTTCATTCATCAGAGATGAAAGGTTTGTTACTAATTTCTTTTGAACAAGATGCATTCTGTTTAAGGATGTTTAAGATAAACTTAAATCACATTTAATTGCTGGACAACTGAAGAGGAAATTAAGTTTTATAAAAGAGAAAAATACACCTAAGAAGCAGGCTACTAAAAACACACAAACCAAACAGCTGGAGTGAATCTGTTTAAGGCAGACGTCACAGTCTGTTCTTCCTGGGTCCCTTGGCCCTAGGCACAGTGATCAGCAGAGCTGGACTTCAGTCTAACATAAGTTTCTCCAAAAGAATGCTTGCCTCTTATCTGAACTTCAAATAATCCTGCAAAAGCTACCACTCCTTTGAACTCCTCACATTTGAGAAGCACTTTGCAGTTTTAACCCAGCACTTTCGTCTTTGTCGCACTTCACATCATGGGGCAGGCAGGTCAGTGTCATCATCCCCATTTCACTAAGGCGCCATGGAGAAGGGAGCTGCTGGCTCAGGGTCCAGAGGATCAGACCACCAAACGCTGCCCTTTTTTCACACAGGAATCTCTCCTCTAAGGCTCTTCCTGGCTCTGCAGGGGGCTGCTGGACTGGGTTGGCACAGAGCAGGGAGGTGGCCTGCTGCAGCCAGACGGGAAATGAGACTGGAGGGGAGGGAGCTGGTACAACTTGCAAAGCAGCAACGGGCACAAGGCTGAGTAAGCTGCACAGGTGACAAGACCCCATCCAGCCCCTTGCTGAGCAGCCAGGAGGGACCCAGAGGGTGGCGGGGTGGGGGAATGGGGACTCCTCTTTTCACAGAGAAAACCTTGCCCTCTTGGCAGCTACTGTGGAAGGTTTTTCAGTTCTAAGAGCCCAGATTGGGGAGAGATTCTGAGCAATGGCTCTCACAGCTGCCTGGTGGCCCTGGGGAGCTCGTGAGGATGGGAGGCAAGCAGCCCAGCCCTGATTCAGCCATATGCCTGGATGAGAAACTGCAGATGATTGCAAGGACAGTAAAAGCCAACCCTGATGAACTTTCACAATGGGACCAGGGTGATTCCGTACAGACTGCATGAACTCAGCATTCCTCAGACTTAAATGAGCCTGTGGATGTCCCTTGGAACCTTGTTACATGCATTGCGACCCAGGAGGCCTGGCGTGGAGCCCGAGATTCTGCATCTCTCACCGCTTCCCAGGTGATGCTGATGCTGCTGGTCCACGGACCATGTGTGTGCAACAAAATACGAACTTTCATTCTCACAACTCCATGCCAGAGGCACAATCCCCTTTCCTGGGCTCTACACAGGAACACTGGTGAGCAGCACAACCACGGCCACATGTGTCTAGTTAGGAAAGAATCCAGGTCTAAACACAGCCCACGTGATTCCAGAGACCACGCCCACATGTGCTGTACCACACAGCACTTATAAACTGTGAAGTCCTAACCAAACAGAAGAATCTGAATCCCTGATCTGCTGCTTCCCAGCTGTGTGACCTGGGCAAGTTACCAGAGCGAGTCTGTTTCCTTCAGTGTAAAATGAGAAGGCAGGAGGTCTGACTTAAAGGGAGGTTGTGAGGATTCAATGAGGGATGAGGGTGATGTGCCCGGCAGAGGACCTGGCAGTAGCATGTGCTCCAGAAGCATGAGCTGCCGTCATTGCAAAAGCGCTGTGGCCCATACAGAGCTGCAACAAGGAAAGGGGGCTGTGGCTGCTACTGGGGAAAGCACATGGGTGGCTCGCCTCCCACTCCCGTTTCACAGGCAGAACAAAGAAGCAGTGGGTCTCCATCAAGAACAGCAGCTGGAGACAGCAGGAGTTGGGGGTGGATGAGAGCAGGTGGGGGCAGTGGAAGATGGGGATGGGTGCAAGGGTTAGCAGGAGACAGAGGGTGCAGGCTATTCGGGAGGTGAAGGAAGGGGTGCAGGGATTGTGCTGGGGATGGAGATGGGACTGGGGACCGAATGAGGGGCAGGCGGTATGGGGTAGCACAGGGGGTCCTGACCTGTCACCAGGTTTCGGATGAGGAGGGCCTCCTCCTCTTTGTGGTACTCCAGCATGCCCTGGAAATCCTTCTCTTTCCGCTGGACTGTGACTTGCCTGTTGAGCTCATGGCGCTTCCTCTCACTCTGGGCCAATGCCTGGGCAGCTGAGCAGGAAAGAGAACAGGAAGCATGGATGAGACTTCCAGCTGCAGGCCTGAGGGTAGCAGGCATCTCTGGTGGGTGGAAGATGGAACCTGGGGTGGGGAAGTGGGCATCTCTGGTGGGTAGAAGATGGGACCTGGGCAGGGAGTGGGCACTTCTGGTGGGTGGAAGATGGGACCTGGGGCTGGGGAGTGGGCATCTCTTGGTGGGTGGGTGGAGGATGGGACCTGGAGGGGGGAGTGGGCATCTCTGGTGGGTGGAGGATGGGACCCGGGGCAGGGGGCATTCCGGGTTCTCTGAACTCCCACTCTCTTTGCAGGGTCTGTTCCTGCAGCCAGAGCCACACCCTAAGTGTGAGCAAGGAGCTCAGCATCCAGCACTGGGGTCCATACTCTGGACAGGGGAGAGGAAACATCCGAAAAGGCAGGAGGCAGGTTTCAGACCAGAGAAAACTTGTGAAGGATGTGAGCCAGCGTGGTCTCTCACCGCTCCTGCACAGCTGTTTCTCTTTCCCTACTGGCTTGTAAGGAAAGGAGATAGGTTTTTCTGGGAAGAGTTTGGCCTCGGCCTAGCCCACTACACTCAGTTTCCTGTGTGTGTGGCCACAGAGCGGCCAATGTGACACAGCTGCAGGGCAAACCCAGGTGTTGAGGGCAAGGCCTGAGCACTCTCTGCAGCCTGTAGGCGGTGGAGCAGGGTGGTGACGGTGATGGCAAGGACACGTCCCGGGTCCCGGGTCCCGGGTCCCAAACGCAGGTTTAGGTTTAGGAAGCCACCAAGTGCAGTCTTTGCAACTACATAAGATGATGATTACTTGGCAAGAGTTTCCGTGGCAGGGCTGAGGGTGTAAAGGCCTGATCAACCTTCACTCAGGCCTCTCAGCCTCACACCACGGTGGAGGGGCAGTGGACATCCACAGCGTTATCCCCAAATGCATCTTGGTACTGACTGCACATAGGGCACTGTCCTAAGCATGGGAACAGATACAATGGCATGGCCGATCTGTCCCTGGCCAGTCGAGCTAAGGAGACACATCTGTACATTCACATGGAAATACTACAACACGGCTGAGGCACCAAGTCAGGAGTGTGTGATGTGGGTGCTAAAGGTGGAGGGGCTGGAAGGGCCCCACAGAGGAGGTGGGATGAAGGGTGGGTGGAACTCTCACATCCAGGTTCAAAGGGGCTGATCTGGCGGGAGAGGACCGGGGCGAGTGACCCCTGGTGGGGAGGCTGCTCCACACACTCCAAGTGGCTGAAGGGAGGCTCTGAGTGGAAGTGGGGATGAGTGTGAGAGGATGAAGCCTGGCAGACGAAGGCTGAGATTTCATTCTGCGGGCAATGAGGTAGCAGCAAAGGCCAGACACTGCTGTGAACAGAGACAGGGCTGGGAAGCTCCTAAGGAATCTGGGAACAGAGGACAAGAACTGGACACAGGGGTAGGGGCAGACACAGAGAAACACTGGAAGATAGGAAGTGACAGGTCTTCAGGAGTAAGCAAAGCTTGAAGCCAAGAGACCAGGAGAATGAGAACTGGAGGAACAGCAAATGGGAAATCCAAAGTTGGCAGACACATGGACAAGTTTGGAGAGAGGTGTTCCCCGGGACAGAGATCATAGATATCCCTGCCCCTGAGAGCTTCCAGTCTAGAGAACCAGGAGATTAAACAAGTAAAATGACACTGGTGATCAGAGCTGCACCCAACATACTCATGGGGTCAGGACTGTGTAAGACAAGATTCAAGCCCTGGGCATGTGGCTCCTGAGCTGAGGGTGGAAGGAGGCAGAGGGGGATCCAGGCAGTGAGGGGCTGAAAAAGGGTTCCAAGCAGGGTGACACATGCAAAGAGTGACACAGGGAGATTTGCAGCAGGGAGTCAGAGGGAGAGAACATTCTGAGTCTTTCTGGAAGAGTGATTTAAATCTCTACCTGAAGATTCCAGATTGGAAGTTTAATCCTGACACCCCACTGCATGGAGTGAGGCCCTTGGGGTTACGTCCTTTTGATACACAACCTTCTTTCACATTAGACTTGCCTCCCAACTTCAAGCCCTTTGAGCGCAGGGACCACCAGGTCACCTCTGGGTTCTGCATTCTTCCAGCCCTGCAAAAGCTTGCTCAGAGTAAGCACCAAAACTGGCTGAATTCAAGTGTCTTTTGTCCATATTCTGGATGTGTCAGCTCATGGGATCTGACTACTTCTATCACATGGCTGGACTGGGCAGAGTCCAGTGATAGAGGAATTCTCCCAGTGAAGGAGGAAGAATATGGAGAGGGCAGGCAGGCAGCTGACACCCACAGGCGTGGCCAAGTGTACCCCTGCTTCACAAAACACACTCACTCACACCCCCATACCTTCTAGGTCCTGGACTTTCTTCATGTAAATCTTCAGTTGTTTTTTGAGCTTCCTCTCATTCTTTTCCAGCTTTTCTACCAGTTCTTTAAGGTCCTGGAAGCAGAGGGAGCAGTGTGAGAACAGGTATCAGCCCTGCCTGGGATGGTGGAGGTAAAATCCTGCTTCGAGTAGGAGGTGGCCCATGGGCAGCTGTCGGAAAAGTGCCAGTCAGGGACGCTGCCAGGAGAGCTACTCCACGCAGGCTGTTGCCACCTGCTCTGGAACTCAGGAAGTGGGAGATGATGAGTCAGAGTACATTCCCTCAGTAACAACAGGGCAAGACTCCTCCCAGGTCAGGCTCTCCGGTGCCCTGCTGAATCCCAAGCCTCCCTAAGCCAAGCCTTCACTAGTTGCCATGCCAACCCCCAGGAGACACACTCAGCCTAGGAGTCCCAGGTGGGGTGGGCAGCGCCTTGCGAAGGAATGGACAGGTGGAGGTGTGAGAATGCAGGGGGCAAGGGCGCTTGGAAGAGCCAGTGGGCAAGTGAGATTACCCAGGGCCCAGAGGCAAAACAGAACACTGATGTGGCCCTAGTCCCTAGCAGCTGGTGCCACTGGAAGCACATCAACCCACTGGGACCTAGAACAGCAGGGTGCTGGGGGAGGAGTTCGCTGTCATTAATGTCACCCCATCTCAGCTGAGTAGTGGTCCTCTGTGGCCAGGGACACAAGAAGGAGAGAAGGATCCCTGCTCCATCACCACTGGAGCTGGCCTTGGCTATTAGAGAATGACCGGAAGACAGAAGCGAGTATTCCATAGTGGAGCCACTACAGACACGCTGGGTGGCAACTTTTGAAGATTGGCCTATTGACAGGAGCCGGCCCAGTCCCAGTGCTGTGGTCATCCCAAACCACTCACCTAGTTATAGATGTTGTTAGGGACTTATCTATTATTCATCATAATAAAAAAGCAAATCTTTAAAAATACTTCTTAAGTTGAGAGGCATCTAAAAACCCAGCTCAAGTGACAGGCGAGGTGGCAGAGAGTAAAACCTCAGTGACCTAAGAGCGGCCTCTGTGTGAGAGGCCGGTTGGTAGAAAGGACCCAGATGTCTAGAGATACTTGAGCCAGGGTTCTCTGTGGCTACTGAAGGTCTCCTGTGAACCCTGAATTCTACTCAGATTCCGTCTCCCTATTAGGTACCTTCCCAAGCAGCTCCAAAGCATGTGACGTCCCTGGCTCTGCTGCACTGCCGCCCCGCCCTGTGCTCATATAACCCTGTCCAGATCCAACCCCACTGAATCCTCAGCTACAGCTCTGACTCTTGCAAAGAATTAACCAACACCTGGGGCCACATGACTTAACCAACCCAGTGAATGAGGAGCCCAGGGCTGCCCCAGACCGGGCCAGGACCAGCATGCTGGTACTGTGACCATCATCAGTCCCAAGCTCCTCTGTGCGACATGACCAAATCCACAAGAGAAAGTTATTTCTTGTGTCTTTTTGAAAACCTTCACTACACCCTGGGAGGACAGACAATAAATGCTCTGATGCCTATTTGCAACATCGTAAACACCGGATGCTTCAAGAAGGAAAGGTTAATCCAGGCTTTGACTCCTGCTTCAAGAGCTCTGACATCTCAGCCAGCTTCTAGAGAAAGCCCAGCAAACCCAATACTCCACCTGAAGGGCTCAAGCAGAGGGGAACGTAAGGATCCATGTCACTAACGGTGGCTCTGTGCAAAGACATTCCTGAGTGTCCAACCCCCAACCCCCACCCCCCCAAATCCCAGAAGGTTGCATTCCTTAATGTGCTAAGGGGAATTATATAAAGCTGCGCTTCCCTAACTTTGTAAGGGTGTTGGAACCACCTGGGAATCTTTAAAGCCTGAAATCAACACATTTAGAACAAATGAAGGGAACACAGTGCTGGCCACCAGTGGCTGTAAACTTGTACAGACCCCAAGGCCCAAAGTTCTAAAGGCTAAAACTACAAAAGCTTACAGAAGAATGAATTCAATTCATAAGGAATCTTGGAAATGAAAAATGAGCACATCTGAAGATGGCTCTAAACCAGGTGTCCCCAAACTTTTTACACAGGGGGCCAGTTCACTGTCCCTCAGACTGTTGGAGGGCTGCCACATACTGTGCTCCTCTCACTCACCACCAATGAAGGAGGTGCCCCTTCCTGAAGTGCAGCGGGGGGCCGGATAAATGGCCTCAGGGGGCCGCATGCAGCCCGTGGGCTGTAGTTTGGGAAGGCCTGCTCTAAACTTTTCAGGTTGCTACTAGGAAGGACAATCACATCCTCGCCTCTACACAGAGACCTTCTGGACCATTCCAGCCTCAAGCGGTTTTCCCTGACTTCCCTTACACTCCACCCAAGGCTGCCTAGTGCCCTGTGCTGTGGTTACTTGTTTATACATGGTCTCCTCTCTGCCAGAGGTCAGTGCTTTACCAGCTGGCACATGGCAGGCAAATATACATTACCCACAGCCCCTGGAAACTGCTGTGGCTGGCTCTCCTTAGGGGTCCCAGTCTCCATCTTGGCAAACAAAGAGGATCAGGTTCTGGAAGGAGTCTCTCAGCAGGCTGCAAGCTGTAGCCGTCTTCCTCATCCTTGCCTGCCCAGCAGCACAGGCCCCTACTCATGCCCCAGGGTCACCACTCCAGCAGAGGGGCCCACTGCACTGTCTTCTTTTACTCTCGTGGCCTCTTAAGGTGGGACTACCCACCTCTTTCCACTCACTGACTCTCCTAAGTGTGGCCTTGGTGACCCTGTGCTGGTGTGCTGTGACCTACACAGTGCCTGCACGGTGCACAGCCCTCTTTATAAGGTGGCTGTCCACTGTGGTCCTTGGTCAGTGGCCCTCCAAGGAACATGGGCCACCAAATGCATTTCCTAGGCTGCCCCCTCTACCTGGCAGAAGCTGGCCAGGTATGTTTCTTTAATACGGTGCATTTCTTTCCATAAAGCCACCAGGTAACATATGTATATGCAACAGAGAGTGACTTGGAGGCAGAGAGGGAGCAGGAGGGAGGGAAGATCATGTGTATGTGCTATTCAGCTGTGGGTCTGGGCCCCACTTTTCCTCTTGGGATCAAGTGAACCAGCCACCCAATTATAGGTCATCTGGTTATAAAGAGAAATGACAGCAATGGCTAGGCTCCTGGCCTGGATACACTGTGGGCACACAAATGTGCTGCCCTCCGTGGGCACACGCAACTCCAGAAGATAATTGGCACTGCCGAGCCCTGCCCTCAGGTGGCCTTCGCTTTTGTCTGGGCGCCTTGGTCCATGCTTTTCTTCTCCCTCCCCCCTCTGCCAGTCTCCATGGTTTACATCCCCTTCATGCCTCCTGTCTCAGCTCCAGCCTAACGTATCCCCAAAAGCTTGCCCTACCGTTTTCTCTTCCTGTGATACTAGTTAACTCCATTCAGTTTTTAAAAGCAGAAATCATGCTTTTTAAACCACTATCTAGTTTCTCTTCTTTATTACATGCCTTCCTTCCCCTACTGACCAATCTGCAAGCTCTCATAGGACAGGGACCCTTTTCCATTTCTCTGGCATCTGCTGGGGCTCCTTTGGTGACTGTGTGCAAAGAGGCCCCCAACAATTTCTCCCACTACTCCTCCCTTCAAGAGGTAGAATCTCTCTGCCACCATATCTGGCCTAGCCATGAGACTGTGTGATCAATGGGCAGAAGCAACACTGTCAGTTCTGGGGCTGAGCCTCAAGGGGCCTCGCTGTTCCCTGCTTTCATCCTCCTGGAAGTCAGCTGCCAGGTAAAGCAGCTCAGCTAGACCAATGAAATGCGGCGAGAAGGCAGGGGAGGCCTCCAGCCGACAGCCAACACCAAGGCCCTAGAAGTAGGAGTGAGGCTGTCTGAGATCTTTCAGCTCCAGGAAAGGGGTCTTGAGTGGGGAATTCTAGAGTCTCTGTTTCTACTACAGGGACAAGGGTCATGAACCTTGTCCGTTTTGTCAAAGACCATCCGATCCCATTTTCTTCCAGAACATGACTTCCCAGAGCTGGGGTCCACGAGGCATGGCCACTCACCAGATTCTCGTTGGTCAGTCGGGATATCTCCTGCTGGACGCCAAATTCCACCTGGGCCTCTGGGGAGAGCAGCAGCGTCTTGCAGAAGGTCTGCTGCTGTTTGTCCATCTTCTCCTTCAGGGCCTCCAGCTGGTCCTTGAGCCGCTCCACCTCCTCCTCATGCTCCAGGCTCTGGGCCTGCAGCTGAGCCTCCAGCAGCCTGCGCCAGGGAGAAGACAGGTGAGCACACGGCCCAGGCCAGGGCCTCCATGGAAGGGGCCACAGGCAGAAGCACGGCAGGGGAGCGGCCAAGCACACAGCAGCAGCGGTCACACGGTCACACATCCCCCCGAGGGATGAACGCAGCAGGAGGCAGACGCCGTGGGGACCGCGAGGCAAGCGGGCCAGCTGTCCTTCTCTCAGGTGACAGGAAACCAAGGCCAAAGCACTCCTGGTCCTACGGCTTTTTCTCAACCCTTATGCCTCATTCTGTGAGCATAGTTTAACCGTGTGGGATTGAGATTGTCTCCCTGTCAAAATGTATTCTATCAACAGAAATACATTTCTTTTTTTTTTTTTTTTTGAGACGGGGTTTCGCTCTTGTTACCCAGGCTGGAGTGCAATGGCGCGATCTTGGCTCACCGCAACCTCCGCCTTCTGGGTTCAGGCAATTCTCCTGCCTCAGCCTCCTGAGTAGCTGGGATTATAGGCATGCACCACCATGCCCAGCTCATTTTTTGTATTTTTAGTAGAGACGGGGTTTCACCATGTTGACCAGGTTGGTCTCGATCTCTCGACCTCGTGATCCACCCACCTCGGCCTCCCAAAGTGCTGGGATTACAGGCTTGAGCCACCGCGCCCGGCCCAGAAATACATTTCTTAAAGCATCTTTTAAATAAAAATAGCTATACCTGCCCCCAAAGTTCACAAGAACCTCCTTCTTAAGGCAAAACTCGGGCAAAACTGAGCTAATTATATTATTCAGATATTTTCCCTACAGCAAATTCTCCACAAGTTTTACAAAGGCAAAATATTAGCCCCTTTCTTTTTTCTCTGTACCATTATTACTAGCCCCATTTTATACATACAAGTATTAAATATACAACTTTTATATACAGGTTTCCTCCAGCCAAAAATGAAAACTAAGACTATTTGCAAATGATCTCGGGGAACGTGTAAGATCAGTTAATGTTATGATGAGAAGCAGGGAGACCCAGAGATCTTGCAAACATTGAGAAGTTTCATAAGACTCTGAGTCAAAAGGCCCAAGACCAGGGGTCCCAGTTACCTGGGAAATGCTTCCATCATAATAGAAGGCAAGAGATTAATGAAGGCTCATAGGCAGCCTCACTTTCAGGAAGTTAAATGCTAATACGACCATGATGCTGTCCTTCTTGGACTTAGTTGCTTAAACCAGCTTTCTGATTCAGTGCAGAAGGCTTCATATGGAAGAAAGCTAGGGTGCTGGGAGAGAGGTCCTGTAAAGAGCTTCCAGACATGGTTACATGGAAAAAGTTCACCCCAGGGTCTTCTGGGGATGCAAATAACGATTATGACCGAGCTAGGCACAGAGGTAGGAACTGGGGCGTGCCCAGGGGACAGCTGTTAGAAGCTGTGACTGCCCCGGAGGAAGGCACGACGTTTTTTACAGTTCTGATGGTTTGGGAGGCGACAATTGCAATAAAGAGAGGTGGAGCCATGTCTGCAAGGGAGCAAAAGAGAGGGGAAGTCTACACTGCCGATAGAAGCGACCATTTTATGTGGCTGAGTTGGCTCCACAGCAGCCCTGGGTGCAACACCTGACTCCCAGTGGCTTCTCAACAAAGTCCCACAAATGAATGAAATAGTGATTGAGAAAATCACTCATCCACCACAGGCAATATTACCAAAGAAAAAGAACATGAGATTTGTGGAGGATAATTGGGTAAATAAGTCAGGATTTAAAATGAGATACAGTATTTAGATAATATCCAATATTGGCTACAGTACATTACAAGTAGTCACCAATAAGTTATAAGTTTAACGAGAGAGCAAAGACAGTCTTGAGTTCTAGGCAAGCTGCCCTGAGGATTCACCTCCTGCCTTCTGTGGCATGTTCACTGCTCATGTCTTATTCTCCAGGTGGACTGTAGCTGAGTGATCAGCCAGGGTTCTGTTCCTACTTAAGCATTACGCTAGCCACCTCATGGTGCAGGTAAGAAAACTAAGGCCAAAAGAGCTTTGAGGTCACGCCAGTGGCAGGGCTGATTTGAGAAACCAGGACTCTTGATTCATAGGTCTGTACTTTATTAATGCATTCAGTTGCTGATTCCTGAAACCACATCTGATCTGCTGACGGAGAGGCACGAGCAGTCACCTGGCTTCATATGTGAGTCCTTTCTCCAATAAAACACACTTCTGAGCGGGACAGAAATCTGATCTTACTGAATAGTAACAGTTATAGTAATAGAAGTAGCAGCTAATATT